GAGCTTGACAAGCTACCATTATTCCGACCCTTTAGGCGCCGCTATTCGGCTCAACTCACTAAAAAGCTCAAGCTCGTATCGTAAACAAAATTAACTTCTTCTCGGCGAGCTCGTGCTCATCTGCTCGCGCCCGAGTAGCTTCTGAAATGTTTCTGAAAGTTTTTTATGACCATTCCTCCGTTTCAAAATCCTTTCAAAATCAGCTTATTCTCACTGAGCTCGTGCTCATTTTCTTGAACTCATTGAACTTTAGCTGTACGACTGGGTGTGGCTGTTTACGAAAATTCCAGGCTAAAAATGGCACGGGCATTCCCGATTAGACCCCGCATTTGGTCAACTTTTCGAACTCCTTGATCTCGTCGTGGTTTCTCGTTGCTGTTTACGAACCCTTTAGGAATGATTGGAATGGCATTCCCAATCAGGCACGTAAACTGATCACTTTTTGAACTCCTTGATCTCGGCGTGGTTTGGTGTGGTGTTTACGGCAATGCGTTCGGTGTACTATCGCGTTCAGCTCGTCACCACCTCCCTGGGATCACCCCGAAACAGCACAAAATAGACAAACTGCTTGGTATGCCGACAGCGGCACATGTTTTCGGCCGGGATCCAAATTCACGCTCCGATTCCGCGGGGCTCCGCTGAACAACACGGCGTTGTCTCGATGATCAGCAACAGCCAGTGGTTCGCGCGGGGCGGCTGACTGATCCTTCGCTCTCGGCGCGTCACCACCGACGATCTCTCGATTGGAAAACGAAAAAGAGTCGCCCGACCGAGTCGACCTTTTTCGGCAAAATCACGAGAGTTTTTGGGCAGACCGGGGATGGGCAGAAAATAAATCAGAGAATGGACAAACTTCCGCGACAAGGTCTAAAGCAAGCGCGGAGTTTTAAAGGTGCCTGGAAGCGATTTTCAGATTACAACGTTGTCGTGAACTAACTTTTTTCTAGAATTCAGTATACAGTTTGAATCTTGAAAATAAGGCACGCGACGACTTCAAGAGGTTCAGTGCGTTTACGGTAGCCTTCTCGAGGCATTTCTGATATTTCCAGGGTCAGAGGCAAGCTCACAAGCTTGAGCTGCAAAACCTTGCCACTTGACGAGGACTTCAAGGAGTTCAAATAGCTTGCGGTGGCTGGAAGGTCATCCAGGTCGACGTCATCAATGAGTTCGGGAAACTTTTGGAGTCCAAGCTCGCCCTTGAAACTTCTTCTCATTAATGCGCACAATTTTTGAGTTCCATCCCGCGTCACGAGCAAGTTCGGCGCCTTTTTCTCCCAAAAACCCGTTTTTGAAACCTGGAAAGCCGATTTAGCGCCCAGCTTCATGTCTGGAAACCTAAATCGCGCCATTCCCGCCGTGAAGGGTTCAAAATAACAACCCCGGCGCGCCGCGTCCATGCACAACCCGGTGCCACGCGTCAAACTCTCGCCACCAAAAACCCAAAAAAATTCTTGGGGCAGATGTGCAAATGGACGCGCGGCGCGGCGCGTAGGCCGAGAGCCCGAAATCCATACCCGGCACCAGAGTTCGATGCCCTTCACCGAGCTACACAACAGTACTATATACGTCGCGGGCGACAAAAGGGGGAAACCGGCCTGGCGCGGTTTGTTTCGATGAGCGGTCCCGTGCTCTAAACGGGCAGGCGGAATCGGGCGCTCTGCCTGAAAAGCCGATGAAAAGCGCGCGCGCCCGGGCGATCGCGACCGATTTTGGTGAGCCGCACCCGGGGGCCCGGCGTAAATTGGAGCAACGCGGAATTTTGGGTGCGAACCGCGGGGCTACGGTAGAAAGAGAGTGCAGGAAATGGCTTGAGATCTTGTCCGCGGATATCGGGTCCAGAACAACGGAGTTCAGCTCTCGGATTGCCTGCTAAAAAGCGGACCCTGATCTCGCTGACCTCTTGCTTGTCTCGGGTGGATGAAAACCTGATTGAGAGCGCTTTTTGGGGGAGTACTTGAAATAATATTGACCTAATCGTTAAATAAACCTGATTATTACGTTTCGCAACGTCTGAATTACAAAGCGTCCAAAAACGTGATTTCGAAAAAAATTAAAACCGAAAAAACCGAATTAAGAAACGCTCTGACTCTAAAAATTACAAAATTTGTTAATACAAAATATTGTAACACAAACTCTTAACACCAAATTAAAATAGCTTCTGAAAAACTTGAAAATTGCCGAAACTTGAAAACCAGTTTAAAACCGAAAACTTGGTTATTTTTTGTGACTAAGGTATCTGAAATTCCGGCATTACAAGAGTCGTCATTTTTACCCAAAAGCAGCTATTTTTTGTACAAATTATTCAAAAAAGCTGTTTCCAGTGAAATTTGCATTTTTTTCGCAACAATTTAAAAAAAAACTCTAAGATAACGCTTTTTTGCAGCCAATTTTTCATTGTAAATCCTTTCAAAACTGACAATATGATCAAGCCGTACAGCAACCACCGAGAGTACGTAACGTCATCTCTTGCTCATGCTCTAAGCTCCTGCTCCCTCGGGTCACACTCCACTTTTTGAACCTGCCACCCCAAAAAAGCCCAGACCTAGGGGAAAGCCAGGGTTCGGCCCGTTTCGACGGCGTCTCCTCGAGGGGATCGAATCGAAAAGAGGCTGATCCTTCGCTCCGTGGTACGCCCAGGGCATGACGGCGTTTCTTGCGGAATTGCGGGATGTCTGGTTTTGGCTTTTGCGGCTGGGAGAAACTGAAAATTGATTACTGATTAACAGACATCAGTACTCGGGCAAGCTAGCAGAGAATGTTTGGGAATGCAAAAAACTATAAAAAGCATCCTTGGAAACACTAAAAATTATCTAAAACCTAAAAATACTATTAGAGCCTTGGCAAGCTAGCAGAGACCTTTTGGGAAGCCCACAAAACTAAAGAGAGAGCGGCTCGAGAAAAACTGAAAAATTAGCTCAATATCGTCAAAAAATACTGGTGATAATTGGGCAAGCTAGCAAAGAACCTTTGATAAGTCTTAAAACCGAAAAATAAAATGTATACCTAGAGAAACACCCAAAATTACCTTACCCCTTTCCAGTCGAAGAGCAGCAGATCACGCTCTTCCTCGCCGCCCTCGAGCGCCAGTGCGAGCAACTCACTGACGAGGATGCTACGGTAAACATCGCTCTAATTACCGTAACCCGAATCCAGACTGAGCAGTCGCAGCTTCACGAGATCGCCAAGCAGGTCACCGACAGCCTCAGCCTGCAGAATATCGCCAGGGTGCGCAGGAGGCCGGTCAGTATTATTACAGAGTGTAATGTGGAAAATAATTGTAGCTAAACAACGAAAAAGGAGCTAGACTTTTAAAACTCTGAAAAACTGATTTTAGTGGTTGTACTCGGCTTGTTGCAACTTTTCAAGGCAAATAAATGCTTATTTTAGTGGTTCTAAAGACGCCACAAACAATGTAAAAGTTTTTAAGTTTTAACCTAAAAAAAGGTTATTTAAGTGGTTCTAAAGCTGTACCTTTTAAAACTATAAAAACCGTATTTTCTAGATGGTGTGGACGTGCGAGCGCGTGATGAGCGACGAGGACATCTCCTCGGCCTGGTATCGGGCCTTCGTGCTGCTGGCCGATTGGGCGATGAGCATTCCGGAATTCCGGATACTTCCTCAGAACGATCAGGTAAGCGCCTAAAATAGTACCGAAATCCGAGATTCCGAAAATAATAAAAAATTGCTAAAATGTTCTTTTTCAGACAACCCTCTTCCGCCAGAACTTCAACACGTTCGGCTGGCTGCACTACGCCTACAAGTGGTAAGCGAATTATTCCTATTTTTCTAAAAATGTCGTTATTATTAGCGTGGTATTTTCGTTCCATTGCTTATTTTATATAACTTTTTTAGCTTTTCACACGGCCATATGGCGATGGGCACGCCGATCGGCAACGGCTCCTACATCCCCTACCAAGATATTGATCTGATCAAGCTTGGGCCAAAGTGAGTGGTTTTCCAAAAAAGACGTAAAAATCGGTTTTTAGAAGCTTCTAAATAACCTTTAAACTTTAAAGCCTAATAACCCCCTCTAGATGGGCCGCCACCTACGGGCAACTCGGCAAAAAGATCATCGAAAGCCTCGTGAAGCCGATAGCCGAGTTAGACATTGATGAAGAGGAGTATTGCCTCCTGAAAACCATCGCCCTTTTTCATCCTGGTGAGTTGATAGTAAGTGTACAATGGCTTTGAACTCGGGACATTAAAAAGTATCAAAAACAAGCCCCTTTCAGACAACTCGCTGTCCGACGCTGGTGCCGCAATCGCCAGTCGGCAACGCGACAAACTCCTCGAAGCCTTGGCCGTGCACATTGAGCGTCGATACCCAAATCTCAGCACGTCCCAGAAGACGGCTAGGACCCTGAAGTCCAGCCTGCTCTTCCCTTCACTTATTGTAGGTTTTTAATCTTTAAAGTGATTGCGTAATTCATCTCCAAATCCTTATAAGCAACTCATTTTCAACTTTCAGGCAGTATCCCAATTCGAGGCCTCCTTCATGCAAAACCTCAGCGCGCTCGAGGTGGCCTCCCTGTGCGGCATCTCCGGCGACGTGCTGCGCTCCCTCGAACAAAAGTAGAACCCGTCACCCCCGCTCCATTACCCAGCTTTCATCCCAGTTCACCACCATTCCCCCAACGGGTAAACCCTCCAAATATTGTGATCCTAGATGTCGTGCGGTTATGCCAAACCCTGCCGCCCAATGCATATTCTCTCTTTTTCTGCGATGTATAATGAACCTCATACGCCACTAACGCCTTCCAAATCCCCACCATAATCACAACGTATTTCCTTACAGTTCATATCTCAGGGCAAAATAAATCTTCTATCCGAATGGCTTCTAAATGCACAATGGCTAAATGATTGCATGCTCTACAGGCTATAGATGTGCGCAGCGATCAGCGACAAGCAAACATAGGTTCCAATGATTTATAATGCGATTTAGTACAACAACATCGTAATGTAACACCTTTATAACAAAAACAAAACAAAAATGATACTTATTTCTTGGCGGCGGTGCCGGCGGCGGCCTTCTTGGTTCCTCGGACCTTCTTCATCCTGTTCTTCTTCTCCTTGCGTTGTTTCCTGCCACCCTTCTCCTTCTTGGTAGCAAGTCCGAACTGAAAAAGAAAGATTAAGAATTTCGACAAAAATATAGCAACCAATGTTCCTACCCAAGGCGCTAGAAACATCGCCAATCAATGGTCAAGCCTAACACCTCTTGAAACTGCTAAGCAAAGCAAGACTAGAACTACTCCAGGAGTTATCACACCTTACAACAACACTAAATCCATAAAATTACGCGACCAGGTCTTTAGACAAAAAAAATGCAGAACGGCAGCACCATAGTCACTAATTTTGACAAGAACACCGCTTTGTTTCAAGTCTTTCCCGAAGAAGAAAAGCATACATAAAAAAGCAAACGTACTCGGATCAATCGGTGCTTGGGCTCGAACTTCTTGCAGAAATCCATGGAGTCGTAGACGAGGGCGAAGCCTGCGCTGCGGCCACCTCCATATTGGCACCGGAATCCGTAGGCGATAACGAGGTCCTTGGTCGTCTTGTAGATGTGGGCGATCTTGTCGCGGATCTCGTCCTTGGAAACGGACGGGCGTCCTGGATGGATGATCTCAACAACCTGAAGAAAAAGTTTGATAAAGCGCTTAAAACAATTGTTACCATCTGTTTCCCGGGCGAGTAGGGGGTTGCTGGAGCACCTTGCGCGTGCGAATTGTCACGACGTCACCCATATTTGCGGAGCAGGTGCTGCCTGGAAAAGTGAAATATATAATTTGCACAAAAGATGAAAATGAAAGGAGACGCAGGTTAGTGAATATGAAAGTCCGTGAGCCCAATCCCGTCGTTTACACTGAATTATAAAGGCCAAGAAGATAAGAAGCGGGTCATAAATTTTGGACGACGACTTCTGCGCAAAAGCATTCGGAAACTAGAAAGATTGAAAAACACAGAGTTGCAATAGTAGCTCATCGTTGCTGAAAAGTTGTTCCGAGAGTTGCCGAAAACCCATGGCCCCAGATGTTCAAAATTCTCAACAACATGCTCGAAACACAAGAGTGCAATGGCATAAGCAGGAAAACGCCACAAGAGCACTGAAAGCGATAACTTTTGCCGAAATTACAAAATTTGGCATGAATTTTCCCATTATTTTAGCAAAATCCAGCGAAAAAGCGGGCAAGGCCGTGGAAATGTTCAAAGGCGGGTGGCCGCGACAGGACCCCGGCACTCAGTGGGTACGGTGTAAAGGGGGCTGGGGCGCGGTATAGGAATGACGGGCCGGCGACCGGGGTTCAAAACCCAAAAAGATGCAAGTTTGTGCAATTTGATGTTTACCGATAGAATTCGGAGCGTTAACTTTAGTTAAAATAGCAAAGGGTACAAGAATATCCGGTGTAAAATATTTATTGATCCGAATAGACAACGTAAAAACAATGAAAAATGGGTAGGCTCCTTTTTATCCTTCCTTCTTCTCAATTCGCTCCTTGTAGCTGATGAGATGGTCGTTGAACTGTCTGGCGACGGGCATATACACATCGCATTGCTTCTCGAAGTCGGCGGAGAGTTTCGTCATCTCTTCGGCCAATTCTCTGCCCTCGTCGTAGTGTGCCTTCTCTTTGATCTCCTTCAACTTATCGGCGCCGGCCCTCGTCATCGTCGCCATTCCGTCCTGAATCGAGGCGTGAAGGTGCTGTAAAAGAACCCTACATATGGGCAAATTGTAAAAACGAGAATTCTTGGTATTTAAAGACTTACCTGAAAATTCTTGCCGTAGCCCTCGAAAACGCCGAGAATGTGGGGAGACGTACGATTATAGAGTGACGAGAGCTTAAATTGGAGAAGCGTAACGATCTCGTGCCCTCGATGCGACTTGACAAAACAACCGCCCACACGTCGCTACCGAGCAATCGTTGCAATGGATGAGACTGGCGTATGGAAAAGAATTCTGGCAATCGCAGCATTCCTTCAATGTGATCTTTGGTTTTTCTTCAGCCCCTGCATCGTCTCTAATTAGCTTCCTGGCAAGGTCAGCCGGCTTCTCGTTCAGCAATTGCATCAAGAAATCGAGCAGAATTTTGCATTCCGGATTGGCATCATTGCGGTAGAATGCGGCGCATTGGTAACACTTCGCATCTGCATTATTTTCCATGCAACCATCGCAAATCAAATGGCCACACATCAGAAAATGTGGTAATCGAGGGCTGACGCTCATGAATAACTTCTTGCATCCTGGACAACGCGGAAGTTCCGGAATGCCATGAAGTTGGTATCCACCGGCAATTCTTTCGAACACAGGCTGGCTGAGAAGGTCGAGAAGCCAGTGGGCCAGACCGCCGCCGGTACCATTTAGTGAAAGAGCACATCCGATCCTCATTTCGTCCCCGTAGTGGCCGACGCGGGGGGTCTTCTCGAGCCCTTTCTTGCTGTCAAAAGGCTCACCGCAACCGAGGCAATTTAAGCACTTGTAGATCCACATGCGAGTTGGCGATGTTCCAGTTGCGCAGGTTCCAAACCGCGTTGTGATGCCTAAAATAATTGATAAAACGGGTCGGAAAACGCCATGCAAAAAAAGAAGACAGGCATATCTTAGGCCAGAAATCGAGTAAAGCAAGTCAACCTTATTAGAAAAAAAGGAAATAAAAAACTAGAAAACGAACCAATTTTTCGGTGCTGTCCCATTTTGATGGGATTAATTTCCTGGGGTTTTAGAAAGTAAATTTTAAAATCTTTGGTTTTCCGCAAAGTTTTTCCATGTTTGCAGCGTTTACCGATATAATTTAGAGCATTTCTTGTAGTTAAAATAGACAAATTACAAGAATATCCGGTGTGAAATACTTATTTATGCAAAATAAAACGTAAAAACAATAAAAATGGGTAGGCTCCTTTTTATCCTTCCTTCTTCTCAATTCTCTCCTTGTAGCTGATGAGATGGTCGTTGAACTGTCTGGCGACGGGCATATACACTTCGCATTGCTTCTCAAAGTCGGCGGAGAGTTTCGTCATCTCGTCGGCCAATTCTCTGCCCTGGTCGTAGTGTGGCTTCTGTTTGATCTTCTTCAACTTCTCGGCCGCGGCTCTCGTCATCGTCGCCATTCCGTCCCGAATCAACGCATGCAGGTGCTGAAAAGAACAATAGTTAATTGACACATTATAAAAAAAGATAATTATCGATTTTCAAAGACCTGCCTGAAAATTCTTGGCGTAACCCTCGAACAGGCCGAGAATTTGGGTAGATGCACGACCCTGGAGTGAGGAGAGCTCGACTTGTAGAAGCGCAACAATCGCGTGTCCCTGATGCGACCTGGCAAAACAACCGCCACACGTCACCATCGAGCAATCCTTGCAATGGATCAGGCTGGCAATTGGAAAACAAATCTGGCAATGGCGGCATTCCTTGATTGCAATCCTTGGCTTTTCATCCGCTTCTGTATCTTCTTTTATTAGCATCCTAGCAATGTCAGCCGGTCTCTCAGCGAGCAATTGAGCGAAGAACTCGAGCAGAATTTGGCATTCCGGATTCGCATCATTCCCGTAGAAGGCGGCGCATTGGTAGCACTTGTTCTCTCCATTATTTGCCTTGCAACCATCGCAAATCAAATGGCCACACATCAGAAAATGCGGTAATCGAGGGCTGACGCTCATGAATAGCTTCTTGCATCCTGGACAACACGGAAGTTCCGGAATGCCCTGAAGTTTGTATCCACTGTCAATTTTTTCGAACACCGGCTGGCTGAGAAGATCGAGAAGCCAATAGGCCGGGCCCCGGGGTAAACTGCTAGAAATAGCGCATCCGATCGTCATCTTGTCTCCATTGAAGCGGACGAGGGGTGTCTTCTCGAGCTCCCGCTTGCTTTCAAAAGGCGTCTGGCAGGTGTAGCAATTGAAGCTCTTGTAGATCCCCATGCGAGTTGACGATGGTCGAGTTGTGCAGGCTCCAAATCGGGTTGATAGACCTAAAATAGTTGATAAAAGTAACGGAAAACGGGAATGCAAAAAGAAGACAGGCATATTGAAAGTCTATCTCAGGCAAAACAACCGAGTAATTGGTTAGAATAAGGAATGAAAAGGCAAAAAAAGGTAAATCCTGAGTTAAATAACATAAAAGATGTATAATCTCTCTCTAAAGCGCGCATTTTTTTAAGTAAGAAAACAAGCCGAAGGAGATATTGTTGACGAGCCTAACCAGGACAGGCGCGATTTATTTCCTAGGATTTTACAAAGTCGATTTTTAGATCTGAGGATTCAGAAAGGTCCAGGTTTCCAACCTTTACCGATAGAATTTAGAGCATTTATTGTAGTTAAAACAGAAAAATCTACAAGAATATCCGGTGTAAATATTTATTCATGCAAAAGACAACGTAAAAACAATGAAAAATAGGTAGGCTCCTTTTTATTCTTTCTTCTTCTCAATTCGCTCCTTGTAGCTGATCAGATGGTCGTTGAACTGCCTGGCGACGGGCATATACACTTCGCACTGCTTCTCGAAGTCGGCGGAGAGTTTCGTCATCTCGTCCGCCAATCCTCTGCCCTCGTCGTAGTGCGCCTTCTCTTTGATCTCCTTCAACTTCTCGGCGCCGGCCCACGTCAGCGTCGCCATTCCGTCCCGAATCGAGGCGTGAAGTTGCTGAAAACGAGCAATAGAGTTACTGACAAATTGCAAAAAGCGAAAATTGTCGATTTTCAAAAGCATACCTGAAAATTCTTGTCGTATCCCTCGAAAATGCCGAGAATGTGGGTAGATGTTCGATCCTGGAGTGACGAGAGCTCGACTTGTAGAAGCGTAACGATCTCGTGTCCTTGATGCGACTTGACAAAGCAACCGCCACACGTCACCGTTAAGCAATCGTTGCAATGGATCAGGCTGGCTATCGGAATCGAATTATGGCAATCGGAGCATTCGCTCAATGTGATCTTTCGCTGTTCATCAGCGCCTCTATCTTCCTTCATTAGCTTCCTCGCAAGGTCCGCCGGCTTCTCGTTCAGCAATTGCGCAAAGAAATCAAGCAGAATCTTGCATTCCGGATTCGCATCATTCCCGTAGAAGGCGGCGCATTGGTAGCACTTGTTCTCTCGATTATTTGCCTTGCAACCATCGCAAATCAAATGACCACACATCAGAAAATGTGGTAATCGGGGGCTGATGTTCATAAATAACTTCTTGCATCCTGGGCACCGCGGAAGTTCTGGAATGGCCTGAAGTTGGTATCCATCGCCCGTTTTTTCGAATACGGGCTGGCTGAGAAGGTCGAGAAGCCAATATGCCGGGCCCTGGCGTGAACCGTTAGAACCAGCGCAGCCGATCAGCATATCGTATCCCTTGAGGCGGATGAGTGGTGTCATCCGGGACCCTTGCATGGTGTCAAAAGGCTCATTGCAGCTGAAGCAATCGAAGCATTTGTAGATCCTCATGCGAGTTGACGATGGTCGAGTTGTGCAGGTTCCAAATCGGGTTGATAGACCTAAGATGGTTGATAAAAGGAAAAAGAAAGACGCCGTGAAAAAAAGAAAACAGCTTGTACCAGGTGAGAAAGCAAAAAAAAAAGTCGGCTAGAACCAGGGAAAACGCAAGTCAAGCTAAAGTTTCGCGCTAAAAGTGATGAAGCTGGTTAAAATGAAAAAAAAGAATAGAGCCGAAGTCGAAGAAGTGGTGCAAGAAAGCAGAAAAG